TCCCGGCTCTTCCTGAGCGGCACCGTAGCCTATTGGAACCTCTAGAACCAGACGGCTCGAGTTCAAATCCTGATGCTGTTCCTGACGGGCATCCGACCTTGGCAAGGCACTCAGGTCCCCTGGAACTTGGTTACCTTCTTTGCAAAATGAGACCGTTGGTAATAACAGTATCACCGTCATAGTGTTGTTGTGAAGATCCAGTTAAATAACTTAAACTATTTAGAACAAGATTTGACATTGACAAGTTCTCATTGTTGCCTTGTGTGCTGCTCCGAGTCCGAGACATGTATCACCATCCAGGTTACACTCAGAGCAGTCCCTGAAGAGAGGTACTGACACCAGCCTCCTGCTACCAACAAGGAAGCGGGGCAACGGAGCTGGTGTGCAAGCAGCCCCAGACCAGAGTGTGGAGTGAGGCTTCCCACCCAGCTGCTCTCCAGTCCCTAGGAGCCCTCTTCATCAGCACACGGGTCCAGCAAAAACCAGACCTACCTGCAGGGAGTGACAGGCAGCATGGCAATTGTCCAGAGCCCTCTAGCGCACCCTGCAGGAAAACAGGTGTGTTCTCTGAGACAGGCCTGAGATCTAGAAACAGCAATAGTCCATCTTCTTCATCTCATGGCACATAATCACTAAAATTCTGCTGCACATCAAAAAAAAAATTTTTTTTTGGCCAATCTGACCAAAAAAAGGTGTACTTTTTTTTTTAAAGGTGTACTTTTTATTTACAAAATAATAATAGTAATTACCTATCCTTTTTGCTCCAAAGTGATTTTTTAAAAAAACTCAGGTGTCTAATCTTGTATATAAGGATTTCAGTACCAAAAATTAACTAATTAGACGCAACCTTATTATGCGACGTGATCAATAAAGTGCAATCCTATTATATGAGATACTAGAGGCCCGGTGCATGAAAATTCATGCACTGGAGGGGGATCCTTCAGCCTGGCCTGCCCCCTCTCACAGTCTGGGAGCCCTCAGGGGCGGGAGGCGACCCGGCGATCAGGGGAAGGCGACGCCCCATCACACCTCTGCTGCTGCCACTGCTGGCAGCACAAACCTCAGCGGGCCCTGGTTACCTGAGCCTTGGGTAGCCCTGGGCGGCTGGGCGGCTGAGGGGACTGGGGGACTCCGGAGGCAGGCGTGCCATCTTGTGGCTGTGGGTGCTGCCATCTTTGAGGGCGGGGCAGCAATTAGCATATCCCTCTTTATTAGATAGGATATTTAGACAAGGCATTCACACAGAGGGCAATTGTTGTGTTGGATGTTGACACTTTTTTTTTTTTATTTGACAATCTCAGGGTCCGTGTCCCTGACTCAACTGTCAGGTATTGGTTTGACTCAGCCCATAGAGCAGCTGTGGGCAAACTACGGCCCGAGGGCCGGATCCGGCCCGTTTGAAATGAATAAAACTAAAAAAAAAAAAAAAAAAAAGACCATACCCTTTTATGTAATGATGTTTACTTTGAATTTATATTAGTTCACACAAACACTCCATCCATGCTTTTGTTCCGGCCCTCTCCGGTCCAGTTTAAGAACCCATTGTGTTGCCGAAACCGGTTTGGCTCAGTGGATAGAGCGTTGGCCTGTGGACTGAAGGGTCCCGGGTTCGATTCCAGTCAAGGGCATGTACCTTGGTTGCGGGCACATCCCTAGTAGGAGATGTGCAGGAGTCAGCTGATCGATGTTTCTCTCTCATCGATGTTTCTAACTCTCTATCTCTCTCCCTTCCTCTCTGTAAAAATTCAATAAAATATATTTTTAAAAAAAGAACAAAAAAAAAAGAACCCATTGTGGCCCTCGAGTCAAAAAGTTTGCCCACCCCTGCAGAGCGTCAGCCTGCAGACTGAAGGGTCCTGGGTTCGACTGCAGTCAAGGGCACATACTTCGGTTGCAGGCTCCTCCCCAGCCCGGGCCCTGCTTAGGGCGCATACAGAAGACAACCTATCTATATGTTTCTCTCATGTTGATATTTCTGTCTTTTCCTCTCTCTAAATATCAATGGAAAAATATCCCCAGGTGAGGATTAAAAAGAAAATGCTGCAACACACAGGCTGAAAATGGCTGGCCAAGAAGCATAGTTGACTGAGAGAGGCATTTAGGCAAAGCACCGACTGCCCGCCCTGCAAGCCCTCCGCATTGGCCCGTCTGGCAGGTTTTGGGCAGGTAAGAGATGCTGGAGAGGTAAGCAGCCTCCAAACTGTGGAGGAGTTCCTGGATTGTGCTGAGCGTGACTTTCACTGTGTAGGTAATGAGGAACTGAGAGGCCGGCACACACGTGTAGAACATGAACGGGAAGGAAACCCAGGAGTCCTCATGGCCGCTGCTTCTACACCGCTGGCTGAGCTCTCCCACACGTGGGCCTGAGAGCAGGCGCTGCGCTTCTTCCTGTCTCTGAATCCGGAGGTCTAGGCATGCGTTGCTCAAACACTTATGAAGCCAATTAATGTCTAGCAATGCTGCCCAGGGAAAGCAGGGGAGGGACTAGAGTTCAAAACCTGCAAAGGATTCCCCCCAAATTAGCCAGCCGTCTCTGGGAATCGCTGCTTCGTTTGGTGGGAAAGGCCAGGTTCTGCACAGGTCCCGTCATTCCCGTAGGAGGGGCTTGTCTCCCGGTGCTGTTGGAAGTGGGGGCCTTAGGGCCCCACCTGAGAGGCATTCCCAGTGTTGTGCCCAGATTTCAAGGTTCCCAAGACCCCCAGGGAGCCAGTCAGTCCGATGCAAAAGCAGAGTCCTTTTAATGCAAGCCGGTTTGCGCTCCCCGTTCACTAGACCCACCGACACAACGGAAAGTCCAGTGGCCGAGAGAGGGAGGCCTGATGGGACAGGGGGTTTTATAGGGGGTGGAGTGAGGGCAGGAGAGGGGACTGTGGGCCCCGCCGATTGGCCAGGCGCGAGTCGGTACAGGATGTGGTCATAGTGATGGCGTGCACTTCCCTTGATTATTGGTTAGTCCAGAGAAATCCTGGGTGTGGCTAGCAGCCGTGTCTTCCGGGAAGAAGCACATGGCACCGTCCCAAAATGGAGGACCCAAGGCAAGATGGAGGGCGCAGTCCCCGCCCGGCTCCCGCTGCTGCCGCTCGAACACCGAAAGGCAGGATGGCCCTCCGGCACAGCACCTGCAGCCGGCCTGCGGGCGGACCGGGACTCCCGCTGTGGCCCGTCTGGGCGGCACAGGCCCAGCACACGGGGTGCGGCCGGCGGAGCGGCCCAGCTCCGGAAGAGCACCATCCGCTCGGAGCAGGCCCGGCCCACGAGGCCGTGGCACCTCAGCACGGCGGCCTCCCCGGGCTAGGGCACGCGCCCCACTCCGCTGCTGCCGCTGCCGCCCTGGGGCCGGGGGTCCACGCGGCCCGCGCCGACGCCTGGTGGGGGGGGGCAGGGGGCGGGTGGCAGCCGGCGCTGGGCTCCCGCTGTGGGCCGGGGAGCCGATGCCCGAGGCCGCCAGCAGCACGGCTGGGCTGTGCCTCATGGGGCCTGGCCCCTGTGACCGGCCCGGAGGGCTCCCCGACCACGGGGGAAGGGAGGAAAGAGCCAGGCGGTGAGGCCTCCGCTCCCACGACCTCCCGCCACGCAGCCGCTCCGGGGAGGCCAGGCCCTACGGCGGCGCGGAGGGATCCCAGAGCCCAGCGGCCGGACTCCTCCTCCCGCACCCGAGAGGCGGGCGGTGCGCCTTTCACCCAGGGGCCCCCACGGAGGGTGTGATGTGGAGAAGCTTCATTTCTGTGGAATCACACGCTGGGCTTCCCTCCGTCCAGTCATCCAAGTGCAGCGGGGCGTCAGTGGGGCTGAAGTCGGAGCCAGGGTCCAGTTTCCGCCCATATTCACAAAGTCCAGTTCAGCATCAGGCCGGGCAGTCCTTCAGGCCATGTGCGCGGGGTCGGAATGCAAGAGGACACGCCTGGAGCAGCAAGAGCCGAGAGCCACGGGAAGAGCAATGAGAGCCGCTTCTGTTAGGCCGCTGAGCTCGCAGTGGCCACGCCCATTCGGGCCAACCGTGCCCAGGCCCGGTTTAATGGACAGACAAGTCCCCTCTCGCCGCCCCACCTTGACTGGCACGCGCCCCTCTTCCCTGGCTGGGGCGTGAGGTGGCGGCTTCCCGGGGAAGCTGCCCAAACGCCTCCTGCAATGCCGGCCTCCCTGCTCCTTCCGTGACCCATCACAACATATGCCATCAGGGGGGTGACCCGCTCAGCACCGACCCTCACAGGCACCAGAGGAGGAGATGACGCCCCGGTGCGAGGCGGGCCGGGGGCCCGAGGCCCCGAGTGGGCTTCTCCCTCGCGCCTGGACCACAGGCGCGCTCCTCCTGTGCTGTCAGCCCCCCACCCCTGCGAGCAGGACCTCCGTGCAGCGGGGCCCCCGCCTGTCTGGTCTCCAAAGGATCCCCCGAACCCAGGTAATTTGGGGGATGAAGCAGGAGGAGCAGCGCCTGCCGCCCGGTGACCTTAACGGTCAGGGGGCCGGGAAGGGCAGGAGGGCCGCTCGCGGAGGGAGCAAGACGCCGGGCCCGCCAGGAAGCGGCGGGCAGGGAAGCCGGGCGCCCCCTTTCCGCCCTCCCGCAACCCCGGGACGTCCGAGCGGGTACGGCCTGACTCCCAGGCCAGGAACTAGAAGAACTTCGATCTCTAAGGAGGCGGCCGAACCGCACTCTGCCGAGGCCACCGCCTCACCGGCCCGCACCAAGGACCACCTTTCCCAAGCGTCGCGGGTTGGGGGCTGCCGGCCCGGTGCATTGTGGGCATTGTAGTCCTGGGTGGCTCGGCCCCGCCTCCCGCGCCGTCCCAGGCAGCGGTCTGGACTACATCTCCCGTCGGCCCGCGCGCCGCCCAGGCCGCCGCGCGAGGCGTCCGCGAGCCGAGAGTCTGCAAGATGGCCGCGTGGGGACGGAGGCGCCTGGGCCCGGGCAGCGGAGGCGCCCGAGAGAGGTGAGCCCGGCGCTGGCGGCCGCCCCGGCGTGAGGCGCAGCGCGCGTGGCCAGCGAGGCCGCCTGTGGCTGCGGCGCCGTCCCTGCCCTCGTCCCCGGGCGCCCCCTTCCCTCCCACCTCCCTCCCGTTCCTCCGCCGGGCACGCGGGGCTCCGGTGCAGGCCGACCCGCAGCCGCGTGGGAGCCGTGCCGAAGCGGCCTCCGCGGGGCTCGGGCTCTGGAGCGAGGCCGGACCGGGCCGCGCAGGCCCACGGGGCCCGCCTGCTGCCCGCGGGCCGAGCGGCGTCCGGCTCCCGTCGCGCCGGCCACGCTGGCCTCCCGGCTGCGGCCCTGACGTGGCGCGGACGGACTCCGAGGGAGGGCGCCGCGGGGGACGCGGTCCGCTCTGGCCGGCGGCCTCCGCCCTCCCCCGAGGCCGCGGGAGGGGACTCGGCCTCCTTTCGGGCGGCTCCGCGCGCGCCGGCGGGGAAGTCCTGAGTGACCTTTCCAATGAATGGCGCGGGCGGGAGCGGCGCGTCCCTGCCTCCGCGGACTCCGGGGAGGACTGGCTTCGGGGCGCGGCTGGCGCGGCTGCGCGGACGCGCGGGTTCTGCTCCGGGAGGGTGTGCCCGGCCTTGGCGGGGCGCGGGGGAGGCCCGCGCTGGTCAGGGAGGAGCCGTGCTGTGGCTGCTTGGTCTTCGGTGAAGATTGTCGGGAGGCGCCCCCCCGCCGCCCTCTCCCGCTCCGTCCTGTGCGTCCTGCTCTCCGGGCGGCTCGTCCATCGTCTCCGGCGGCCCTGGGAGCGGTCCCGGCCGCCTCGATCCCCGGGCTCTGCCTTCCGCTTCTTGGAAAAGCAGTGAATGGCGAGCAGATGTATTTTTGTTCTTCCCCAACTCCGACCGTGCGTTTCTTAGGTCAGACATGGACAGACGTGGCCTCGAGGATCTCCCCAGTGGTCCCCAAAAGCTAGGGAGCGTGTCAAGGCCTTTCGTGCAAAGGTCAGCCCTTCAGCCGTAGGAAATAGCCTGTCAGAATCCTGGGTGGGAGCAGCGGAAAGGGCGTGTGGGGACGCCCCGGCGGGGCTTCAGCTTCGCTGACCTGAGCAATAGATGCGGGCCCGCCGCTTGCGGCCGAGCGGGACCCGGGGGCCGAGCGGGACCCGGGGGCCGGGGCTCCCGCGCCCGAGCAGGGGTTGGGGCTCGGTCCCCATGTGAGGCTCGCAGGAGGCGGCCGAACAGTGATTCTCTCTTGGATGTTTCTAACTCTCCCTCTCCCTGAAACCAATTAAAAAAACATTAAAAGAAAATAAATGAGATATTGGGGATTTTTTCTCCTTGGTTTGAGACAATCATTAATCCATTCCTTGATTATAGGGCCTCCGTTTTTAAGAGAATTTAATTAGTTGCCAGCACTTTCAAATTGAGGGATTTCTCACACACACACACCCTCCCCTCGAAAAGCTGCGTGGTGCCGACTCTTGGTCAGGTCCAGTGCTTTCTGGTTCACCCCTCACCCCTCACCTGACGCTTTGACTCAGGGCTGTTACCTGCCTGGTCTCCTCAGGTGTCAGGTTGCAGCCTTTGGCCGGAGCGGAGGCCCTGCTCGCACCTGCAGATGTGTTCGCCAGCAGTGGCATCTGGTGTGGTGGTTGGGTGGCACCAGCTCTCCTTCTGCATAATGCACCATTGAAGGGGGCCCCTCTGTTTGCCGTCGGCCTTCCAGGTGCCGCGGGGGTGGGAGGACATGGGGGCTTCATTTGCCTTGGCTGTGAGGCCCTAGCTGGGGACCTGGTTTCCCTTCGTGTCCCATGTGAGCAAGGAATGGAAACATAATCTTCCCACACGCTCTCACCCCTGCCAGCTAGCTGACTCCTGGGCATCCCTCCATTCCTGCGCTGTGGGTGGGCAGACTGGGTGGGGCAGGCTGGATTAATGGATTGGCAGGCACCATAGATTATGAGGCCCACGTGTATTATTGGCTCTTAAAACTGAAATGTGGCTGTTTACTGCTCACTTAAATGACGTTGCTCCGTGTCACATCTGTGCTGACTCAAATCTCAGCTCCACGTTGTAAGACCACTTCCCTGAGTTGCTGCACAAACCTGGTTGGCAGCTGCTTTATGCTGAAACTGAAGGAAACGGTCTTGCTCGGTGCACGGGCTGAGCAGAGCAATATGTTGGGAGACTTTCCAGAATTGCCAGTGGCTGCAGACTCCACAGCAGGCCTTGCACCTAAAGCCTCCAGTGCCAGGCTGTCCATGAGAATTTCTGTTATCAGCTGTGTGTTATGATGGTCGAGTTTAGAATACACAGTATATGGATTCTTGCTTCACCTGGTTCTTGAGTCTAGAACTGTTACTTCAGTAGCCACTAGTCACATGTGATAGTTACATTTAAATTAATTAAAATTAAGTAAAATGAAAAATTCAGCTCCTCAGTCACACTAGTCACATTTCAGGTGCTGGCAGCCACCCGTGGCTGTGACTGTCGTGGGTAGAGATACAGACCATGGGCTTCAGTGCAGGAAGTCCTAGCGACAGGACCCCACTGGTCTAGACTGAACTAGGAGAGGGTGGAAATAGCAAAATGAAAGCTGCTTGCATGTTGATTTTTCTCTCCACTCCATTAAATCTAGGAAATCAACAATGTTTGTAATGAAGAACATCAGACTCTGAGCTGTAACCTGAATTCTTGTCCAAAATTCAGCACACTGGCAGCGAGCACACGACACAGACTGCCACTTGGCCTGTCGACGTCTTTGAGACACACTTGCCCACCTAGGAAGGCACAGTGCAGGTACCTGTGTGTTCTGCCACTTGGGTGCCAGCCCGGATCAGCTCACAGACGGCCCCGCCGGTCCCCTTGGGCTCCTTGTCTTCATTCTCTCGGGGCCCTGCGCACCCTGAGTCTCCGTGCTTGCTGGAATGTGAGTACAGCCACATGCTCTCAGTTCCTGCGTTTATCTGATTCCGATCATGACTTGAGGCAGCAGCACTGTGTGCAGGCCTGGGGTGTTCCGAGGGCCAGGCCCGCTGGACTGAATGCTCGGCTTTCAGGGTGAATCACTCTGTGTCCTGGCCCTCCCCTGGTTGTGCAGCGTTTTCAGGCAGCCCGTGCGGGGATTCCTTGCATGTCTTTCACGCTCTGTTCCTTGGTACTTGATCTTTGGACAGCTCTGCTTTAACCTGTGACTCAGACGATGTGGCTCTGGAGGGCTGTGGAGGGTTCGGTTCCCAGTCCAGCTGCACGGAAGGCCCAGGTGCCCTGTGGCAGGTGGCGCACTCCCCTCATTCTGACCTGATCCTTTCCTTTTAGCGCTGAAGAGCCTTAGGGGTTTGTGTTTTATTTCTCCTGAGAGACTCCCATATGGCTCTGCTGTGTGGTTGAAATGTTTGTTTCCGCCTGGTCCAGATGAGCCGTGCTCACAGCCTCTGCACCCAGGTCTGTACATGCGCAACCAGGAGGGTGGTGGGTCCGGTCCAGCTGGCCACACATTCTGATCCCAGAAGTTGGGCATTGTGGGTTAGGGTCTGCTGGGGTGCATCCTCTTAGGCATAAATTTGTTTCCCTTGATTCATTTGAGCAACCTGGAATTCCAGCTGTAGTAACTTGTTAGGCTGCATTCCAGTTCAGGCCCAACTTTCTGAAGAAGAGGAATGATCTTATGTCCAGGGAGATAAGAAGAAGGCTGAGTTTGGCTTCTCTGCCCCAAGCCTCTGTGTGCGTGCATGCATGCGTGTGTGTGTGTGCATCTGCATGCGTGTGTGTACGTGTGCGCGTGCGTGCGTGGGCTTCTGCATGCACCTCAGTGAGTGAGGATAGTGGGAGGGAAGGGGAAGGACTCCACAGAGGGAGCACACAGGACCCTCCAGCTGCCACGGCGTTCTGTCCCTGGTGCCAGCGGCAACCATACGGGCCCAGAGTTCTTGGGAAAGCCCAGAACCACTTAGTAGTCCGAACAGTTCCTTACTCAGGGCTGTTCGTTAGGGTAGCCACAGCCACTCGTGACTTTAAAGCATTTGAAGTGTGGCTCATGTGTCTGAGGAACAATGCTTTAATTTTACTTAATGTAAACACTGGGTGGTGCTTCGCAGCGGTCACTGGTTTGGACACCCAGCCCCTCCCCTCCGCTGCAGCAGCTTGGGAGAGCTAGGCCTTTGCCCACTTGACACCGCAAAGCTGGCTCAGAGTAGCCAGGGGGTTTGCCCTTGAACACAAAGCCAGGGAGTGACTGAGAGGGAACTTGAAGGCAGGCCTCTCGATTCCACACTGGATGCGCTGTGTTCTTGTTCTCAGCAGAGAGCTGCTCAGTTACCAGAGCACAGAGGAGGAAGGTGTTCTCTTGCACGTGGAAATGCAGGTGCCAGGTGCCCTGTGAGAGGAAGTTCCTTGACCTGTTTGGAACTGTCCTCCATATTGGGGCTGCATGCCTGTGCCTTTTTGTCCTATCTGGCCCTTAAATCCAAGCATAGAATTTTACTGCTTTCTTTGGCTCTGGATGGAGGAAGCAATTTTTGGTTAGCCAACAGTGCGTTTTCCTAGACTTAGGGAGTAGAGCTAGAATCCAGCACCTCATGTATCATGGGTGACCGAGTGACCATGTGCTTCTTCTTTTTTTCTTTTTTTTTTAATATATTTTATTGATTTTTTTTTACAGAGAGGAAGGGAGAGGGATAGAGAGTTAGAAACATTGATCAGCTGCCTCCTGCACACTCCCCACTGAGGATGTGCCTGCAACCAAGGTACATGCCCTTGACTGGAATCGAACCTGGGACCCTTGAGTCTGCAGGCCGATGCTCTATCCGCTGAGCCAAACGGGTTAGGGCGACCATGTGCTTCTTATTTAGGAAGCAACATGACATATGGACCTGGTTTAATTTTCAGCCACCCGTTGTCTTAATGACTAGTTGTTTTTCTCCCGTCACTCATTTCAAGTGTACTTCTGCTAATGCCTGTCACATTCAGGCCCAGTGCTGGGATCCTGGGGTGAAAATACTTCCTCTGCTTTCAGAGACCAGAATCAACAGCCTTTTGTAGTTTGGATGGGAGCTCACACCTCAGTCCTGCCTGTGAGCCCGGGGCCCGGAGGAAATGGGCCGAAAGCAAGTGCTCCACCCTGGTGACATTTGGCTCTGGTTCTAGGAAAGGGCATCGGGCAGTGCTTACTTGCGTGAACAGAGCTGGGATCTCTTCCTCCGCACTGAGGACCGGGGAGTGAGGCCGACACGCACCTCAGCTGGAAGCTGCGCTCGGCTCGCCGGGCTGGGGCTGCTCCCCATGCAGGCTTCTCGCAGGCACTCGCTGCCCAAGCGGAGCGCTGCTCCTGTTCCCTGGGTTTTGGGGGCCCCGTGGCTCTCTGGTGTCTTCACCCCAAGGATATAAGGGCTGTTGAACAATATTTCTCCCTGAAAATTTTTATAATGTTCCCATTATAAAAGAAGCACATATTTATATTTTTTTAATACAGAATTCTAAGTATGAGGAAAAAATTAAGAATCACCTGCTAGGCCACTATTTAAACGAAACCATTATTGACCATTTTTGTGTATAGCACCTTTGATGGCCCCCCCCCCCATATAATTTTTCTTGAATTTTAAAAAATTAAACACATCAGAAGTATATTTCTGACAAGTCTGAAACTAGCTACCATATGTATGATCCTTGAAACTGTTATGCTAAATGATAGAAGCTGGTCACAAAAGCAGTGCACGGATGAGTGCAGGTACATGGAGGGTCCAGACTAGGCAGCCCACAGAGTCAAGCAGTAGATGGATGTTGCCAAGGGCTGGGGAGGTGGGGAATGAGGAATGATAGGGCTCTTCAGGGTGATGAAATGTCCTAAAATTGATTGTGGTCATTGCACAACTGGGTGAAAGTGCTGAGCCGTTGAATTGTACACTCAAGTGGGTGAATCCCATGGTGTGTGCATTTTGTCTCAATAAAGCCATTATCTTAAAAAGTACAAATCAGATCCACAGTGAGCTCCCATCTCACACCATCAGGATGGCTACTATGAAACACAACCGTGTGGGTGAGGCTGTGGGGAGGTGGGACCCTCCTGCACTGGTGCTGAGAATGTCATGTGGTGCGGCACTGTGGAGAGCAGGATGGCGGTTCCTCAGAAAAGGGAAAATAGAACTACCACCTAACAATTCCATTTCTAGGTATATATCCAAAGAGATTGAAAGCAGAGACTCAAACATATTTTTACATCCATGTTCACAGCATTATTCACAACTAAAGGCCCAGTGCACAAATTTGTGCACGGGTGGGGTCCCTCGGCCGGGCCGGCGATCATGGCCGATCAGGACCAGCCTGCCGTGGGAAAGGACTGTGGGAGGTTGGCCCACCACGGGAGGTTAGCTATGGGAGCGCACTGACCCCCATGGGCAGCTCCTGTGTTGAGCGTCTGCCCCATGGTGGTCAGTGCGTCATCATAGCGACGGGTCAACCAGTCAGGTTGACCGGTTGTAACGGTCACTTAGGCTTTTATATATATATACTAGAGGCCCGGTGCACGAACATTCGTGCACTCGGGGCTGGGGGGTTGGTGGGCATCCCTCAGCCCAGCCTGCACCCTCTCACAGTCTGGGACCCCATGGGGGATGTCTGACTGTGGCTTAGGCCTGTTCTCTGGGAGATTGGGCCTAAGCTGGAAGTCAGACATCCCTCTGGCAGCTGGGAGCCCTTGGGGGATGTCTGACTGTGGCTTAGGCTCGCTCCCCACAGGATTGGGCCTAAGCTGCAGTCTGACATCCTTAGCACTGTTGAGGTGGGAGAGGCTCCTGCCACCGCCACTGCACTCGCAGCCATCATCCCGGCTTGTGGCCGAGCAGAGCTCCCCCTGTGGAAGTGCATTGACCACCAGGGGACAGCTCCTGAATTGAGTGTGTGCCCCCTGGTGGTCAGTGCACATCATAGCAACCAGTCATTCTTGGTGGTTCTGCCATTAGGGTCAATTTGCATATTACCCTTTTATTATATAGGATAGATAGCTGGAAGGTGGAAATAACTTAAAAGTGTCCATTGATGGATGGAGAGAGAAACAAAATGTGGTTTATACATACATTGGAATATTATTCACACTTAAAGGAAGGAAGTTCTGACACGTGCTGTATAACAGATGAACCTTGAAAACATTGTGCCAAGTGAAGTAAGCCAGTCACAAGAGGACAAACCCGTATGATTCCACTTACACACGGTGCCTAGAACAGTCACTCACATTCATAAAGACAGAAGTGGAACGGCAGGGTGGGTGGGAGTTGTTTGATGGGGACAGAGTTTTAGTTTTGCAAGATGAAAAGGTTCTGGAGGCAGGCTGCACGACAATATGAATGTACTTACCAATACTGAACACATTAAAAGTGGTTAAGATAGTACATTTTTGTGTGTGTATTTTACCATATTTTTAAAAATTAATAAACCTATGTACTCACCGCTAAGCTTAAGAAATAGAAAACTGGCATCACCCTGGCCCATGTGTCTCCCCCCAGGCAGAGGCACCTTGCTCTTCTGAGTTGTCTGTCCTCTGCTTGCTTCTCTTCGCAGTCAGCACACAGAAACCCTTTAGTCTGTGCTTTGGGATTGAGTGTGAAATGCCTCTGCGTGGGTCCCGCACCTGCTCCGCCTCTGCCTCCGCCTCACCTGAGGGGTGCACTGCCAGTGTGCAGCCAGAACTCCTCCACCTTCGTCTGGAGGACGGCACATTGATGGGGGCCAGACAGTGCTGCTCTGAGCATCCTGTGCAGCTAGATTTGGGGACCCCATATTGGTGACTACTTCTGCAATCCCAGATGCCTTTGGAATCGTCCTTGCAGTGGGTCAGGGGACCAGGAGGGGCTCAGATCCCAGGGGAAGCGGAGTCTGTCTTGCAGCCCTCGTGGCTGATCCTCCTCGCGGCGCCTTGTCCTGGGACGGCGGTGTTTGTGGGCCCCTCTGATGAGTGTTTCCCAGCACTGCCCGAACTGGAGCCGGTTCCGAGGAGGAGGGAGGGTCTCGGCTGACCCGTTGAAGGTGGAGGAGGAGCAGGTTCAAGAGCCTGTCCTGGTGTAGTGTCTGCAGCTGCCGCTCGATCTCCAATAGGTGGGAGTGGCTCCCCCGGCTGTTGGCCAGGCAGTGAGGCCAGCCTGGGAGAGGTGTCTGGGAGAGCAGCCCTGCTCTGCAAGTACTGACTGAAGTGCTTCCGTCCCCTCCCCAGTGACATAGTCCTCAGGTATTTGTTTATCTGTCCAGGAGGGTCCTGTGCATATAAAAGCAAATGTATACCGTTTAAAAAATTCACTAAAGGCAGTATACCATAAACACTGCCATGTAACTGACGCTTAACTTCCTTTCTTAGAGACTTTTCCATTCTCAGTGCTTTCTCTCTTTTTTTAGAACACTTTATTATGCTCTCTTACTGGTAATTTCACAACTGCAGTAAAAAGCTAAAATACAGTCTCTTAGGAAGCCTGGATCACATGAGCTTTTCTGCAATCTTCTCTCGTGGGCTAGGTTCATGGGGGTTGGCTGAACTGGTTCAAGGCAACCTTCTGATTGGATGCTTTCCTGCTTGGGTTACATTTGACCCAGAAACAGCCAAGCCGTGTGTGTGGGTGTGGGTGTGGGTGTGGGTAGCAGGGGCGCTGGGTAGCTGGGCTGTTGTAGACATGACTCTCCTGGGCATCCTTCGCCACCAGGTTTCTGAAGTGCCCGCCATGCAGAATGGAATCTGGTGATTGGGGAAGTTTTTAAAACCTACATTTGCAGGGTCTGATGGTGTCCCAACTGCCACAGCCCAGGTGGAGGGGCAGGTGCTGACTGCTTGGTGGCTGGCCTCTGGCAAAAGGGGCCTCCTGGTTGTCTGTGCAGGTTTGTTTTGAGCCGTGCTGTTTCCTTTTTGTACATAGGGGTCCTAGGAATCTTCTCTGGGCTCCAGATTCCATGCTTTCCAGTGGACACATCCCTCGCTGCACTGGGGGTGGCGGCTCTGGCCGTGTGTGGGCACCTCCCATTGGGCTGGCCGCGGGCCTGCCTGGTGTGAAGGTGCCGGGAGGTTACTCAGTGTGGTTGTGCTCTTGTCTGCACTGTGGAGAGTTGGTTTGCGATGACGGTAGGAGTGCAGACGCTTTGACAGGCTGTGTGCACGAGGTGAGTGCGCTGTGCCCACGCATGCTCCTCAGAGCCATGGTGTTCGGGAATGCCCGCAGCTGAAGGCCTGTGTGCTCGCCGTCGCTCCTGTGCTGTTGGGCTGACAGTGGGCGAACTCACATCCTCCGGGCTCCGTGGGACCCAGGGACACACTCATCTGTGTTGACAATGACGGGAGGGCCTTGCCTCCCGCTCCTACCTGAGGAACCCAAGAGAGCCCACTCGGATGGCTGGGAAGGCGGGCCTGGGCGGGTGTGGGTGCAGCTGGGCTTACAGAGCCAGGGCAGCGGGGAAGGAACTGGGAAGGGCTCAGTTAGCATGGGGTGGGGTGGGATCTGCCCACTGTGTGTTTCCAAATGAAGTAGGGTATCCAGGTGCTGTGGTTCCAACTAGCATTTTCTTTTGAGTCCAATAGTACTTTTTCCTAACAGAATGGCTATAATCTGCTGGGTACAGAAGGGCACTACGTGACTAAGGTAGCTTCGGGGTTTGTCAAGAACACTCTGTAATCTCAGCCTTGACACCTGCATTTTGTTTTGAGTGTCCCAGAGGACTCCGTGGCCAGAAAGCTCGCCTCAGATGCCCGCAGCAGCCTCTGTCCCGGCCTCACCGTGGTAGTTAGCCGGACACACAGCTGACTTTGAAGTATTGCCTCTTCATGAATGAGTTGGCCTCCGTCTCCCCCCGACCCCCCATTCCCTTGTTCTTGTCTCTCCCTCTGCCTCTCTTGGCTAATGAACTTGAGAACACAAAGGAAGCCTCTGGGCCAGGGGTGATCGCCTGGAAACCAGTCTCCTCTGTCCCCGGGTAACGGGGACAGGCAGCCTGTTCCAGGTGGTCCGCGTAGGGTTTCTTCTTTGCCACCTTCAGTGCTGAACCCTGCCTGGGAGTAATAATTGAAATGGCCTCTTGTTTATCTCTCTGAATTAAAATCAACTGGAAAAACTCCATAAAGGCCTTCCCAGGGAAAACCCAACATTTCCTGTTTCATAAACTTCCGGTGGGTTCTTACAGAAACGCTCGTCACCGCACCGGAAAGGCAGCCCTGGCCACGGGCACACACAGCAGGAGCTTTGACAGCGTCCCATGTTTAGGAGCTTGTCTGACCCCCGGGGAAGGACTGCTCCCAGTGCCCAGCTTCATGAGGCTGGTGACTTCCCTACGGAGGCGGCTTCCTTGAGCCTCGCTGAACGCAGATCAGAGCTCCCTCTGCCTGAGCCCCAGGCATGCAGGGCCCTCAGCGGAGCTCCTCCCACTGCCCTTGGTGGCACTGCCAGCCCAGCCCCAGTGACTCCTCATTTCTGACGTGACCACAGGAGAGCGAGACAGCAGCCAGAGCGAGAACCTGCCTCTGCGGATCATGCCTGTGTATCGCTGGACAGTCTCGCTCTCCGCTCTGGTCCTTGCTCCTTAGCGTCTGCCCAGCAGTCCCGTCCCCACCCGCCCTACCATGGAGTCGCTTTCATCTTGGAAGGGGCCTGGGACGCCCTTCCTGCTGCACTCAGGTCTGGGCGATGATTACTGACTTATTACTATTTTATTGTTGTTTATCCTCACCCAAGGATAATTTTCCCATTGAATTTTTTTTCTTTTTTAAAAAAATATATATTTTATTGATTTTTTTTTACAGAGAGGAAGGGAGAGGGATAGAGAGTTAGAAACATCGATGAGAGAGAAACATCGATCAGCTGCCTCCTGCACACCCCCCACTTGGTATGTGCTTGCAACCAAGGTACATGCCCCTTACCAGAATCGAACCTGGGACCCTTGAGTCCGCAGGGCAATGCTCTATCCACCGAGCCAGTCAGGGTTTTTCTTTTTTTAGAGAGTGGAGCAGGCGGGGTTTGGGGGTTGCAGAGAGAGGGAAATGTTGATGCGAGAGAGATACATCGATTGGTTGCCTCCTGCACATGCCCCAACCGGGGATCAAACCTGCAACTGAGGTACATGACCAGAATCAAACCCGGTCTGTGGGCCAACACTTCTAACCCCTGAGCCAAACCAGCTAGGGCTGTTGTTTTAAGATTTTTATTGATTTTTAGAGAGAGAGGGAGAGAAACATTTATGTGAGAGTAAAACATTGATGAGCTGCCTCCTGCACACACCCCACCAGGGATTGAGCCCAAAAACCCAGGCATGTGCCCTGACTGGGAATAGAACCAGCAGCCCTTCGGTGCCTGGGACGATACCCAACCGACTGGCCAGGGCAAAGGGCTGCTTTTCACCGAGGCTCTGCACAGCCTGGTGGTCATAGGGATTAAGCAGCTTGATCCGGCCTCAAGAGCTGTGTCTAGCAGTGTCCTGTCAGAGGCTGGGCTAAAGAAGGCTTCTGATCAGATGAACAGATAACACAGAGCTAGGAGAAGAGTAGCTGTGCTGGACAGCTGTGTGGAGATTCAGAAAGATCAGGACAGGCCGCAACAAGCCAAACGAAAATGACAGGTGTGTACAGGTTTGCAATGAGGTTTGCCGTCGGGTGTGGGAAGAGTGCATTAGAGAGGCCTCAGGCTGAGAATCTGGAAACTGCCTCCCTGCTGCTGTTTGGCCTTGATGTGTAAGGCTCCACTTTGAGGATCCTGTTACCCATCCCTGGTCCGGGGGTGGGGGTGGGGGGGTGGGGGGGGGTCCGATCAGCTCAGCCCCTGGGAGTGGGTCTTTGTGAGACTAAATCCAGTCCTGGGCTTACAGGTCAGCGTGGGCTCCCAGGTCCACCAAGTGTCGTCATTGCTGGTTTTGAGATGTCTCTTTTCCTGATTAAATAAAGGGCTTGCTCGCTAAGCAGTGTGCTGGGGTGCTGGGGGTGCTGAGCTGGGGAGGGCCAGGGGACTTTGTGCAGCGTGCCCTTCCACAAGGGTCAGGGGAGTTTGGTTCTCAGTCGCCCAGGGCAGAAGGGCCCTGCAGGCCAGAGGGGACTGGTTGTGAGCCGTGCAGGGGCAGGGTGTTGGGTGGTCCCTGCCTCGGGCCCTGCGGTTGCGCTGACTTCACCCTGCTGACCTGGGCTTCTGTGTTCAGGGTGTTAATGCGATTCGGGGCTGACCTCGTCCTTGTTTCCTGGGAGCTCAGCTAACTCAGACCTGTCCATCCCCTGCAGCAGACCAACTGCCTGGCGCAGTGTATACTGCAGGTTGTCATTTTAGAGATTAGGGTACTCCTGCACCTTTTCATAGACCGTTAGTTTCTTTCAGAAAAACAATTCTTCACTGATGATCCTGAGTATTGGGTTCTGAGGGGGATAGAAACTTAAGTGAGACGTGTTTTCAAGAGCGCAGGCTCTTGGCCGCGCTGAGGCCAGACTCCCTCGGTGTCTTCCCCTCAGTGTCTCAGCAAAGAAACCTAGGAAGTGCTCCCAGCTAACTCTTGTCTTTTTCTTGCCCCTCCCTCCTAAGGGTGAGCTTGTCGGCCACAGACTGTTACATTGTGCACGAGATCTACAATGGGGAGAACGCGCAAGACCAGTTTGAGTATGAGCTGGAGCAGGCCCTGGAAGCCCAGTACAAGTACATCGTGATCGAGCCCACCCGCATCGGCGATGAGACCGCACGCTGGATCACCGTGGGCAACTGTCTGCACAAGACCACCGTGCTGGCGGGCACCGCTTGCCTCTTCACCCCACTGGCACTGCCCCTAGATTACTCCCACTACATCTCCCTGCCCGCGGGCGTGCTGAGCCTGGCCTGCTGCACCCTCTACGGCATCTCCTGGCAGTTTGACCCCTGCTGCAAGTACCAAGTGGAGTACGACGCCTATAAACTGTCCCGCCTGCCCCTGCACACACTCACCTCCTCCACCCCCGTGGTGCTGGTCCGGAAGGACGACTTGCACAGAAAGAGACTGCACAACACGATAGCGCTCGCCGCCCTGGTGTACTGTGTAAAGAAGGTGTACGAGCTCTACGCCGTATGATCGCACGCCCCGAGGGAGCAGGCAGCCGGCCCACAGGAGACAGCAGAGTATGCAGGTCGCACAGGAACATTTTTTTGCTCCATGAGGCAATGGAGCCCGGGAAGGTGTTTGGTTTAATAGTTGTTATTTTTTAAAAATAACACAGATCACAAATGTACCAAGGGTTTTTTCAACTCGCCACACTAAGCTGTGGATTTCTGCAACCCACAGGGAGTCTGAGGCCATGGGATTCTGACTGGGCATAGAATGTTGATGGGAGCTGAGGGGGGTGAGTGTGCTGGGGTGGGGTCTTGAAGTTTATTGTTTAACTACCTTCCAGAGCCAACCAGAAGCAATTGACCATTAAAATGATGAGAATTTCAACTCCAGGTGTCTTTGCTTTTCGTGGCTGTGCCAGTAGCTGCTGCAGTCGGCCTGTGGGTGGCACCAGAGGCCACCCTGTGTCTGGCTGCAGCCGGTGTTGGCGTGTGAGTAGAGCAGGCCCTGGACAGGGCAGGCTTAGACCCACCCAGGACATCTCCTGTCTCACCCGGCCCTGCTTCCCAGGCTAGACTGCTCAGCGCCGTGCAGGGACGGGGCGGGGAGGTGACAGGCCTGGAGGTCGCCGGGCCCCTGGTGCATGTGCACAACTGGGGTCTGACGTCTGGCCCAGGCTTGGATTTAGGACCCGAGAAGCTCACGTCTGCACCTGTTTAAGCACTGGAGCTGTTCTTCACGTGCCCCGAGCAGGCCTGTTCCGCAGGCATTGAGTCCTGTGCTGCTTGCACATCGAAAGGCCTGTGGGCACCACCTTCCCTCTAAGCCTTTGCGTAAGTGGACTTACCCCTCCGCGAAGAAGTTGGGCCCCTGCCTTAACGGCAGCTTTCCCAAGACCTGCTCTCAGCCATCCTTGAGCTACGGAAGGGTCAGGGCCCATCCGCAAGGTCGTCCTGGAGAGCAATGCCGATCTGTACGAAGGCCTCGGGCGACGGACATTTTTTCTAGACCCAGAGCTTTAAAGGTGAAAGGGACCCATGGTGGGGCAAGCCCTTGAGGTCTTGGTCCTGGGCAGCCTGGATCAGATAAACTCACAGAAATTCAAAAACAAAACAAGGAGCCCATGGCCACCAGCTGGAGAGACTGCTTGAACTCTAAGGGCCCTGGAGACGCTAATCACTCGGTTGAGTGCCAGGGGCCAGAAACCACGTTGGGTAAACACTACTGTTTCCATGGTGGTCTGGTCACTGGAACCCGGCAAACTGGCAGTGATCCCAGACAGACCTCAGCCCAACTGTGCGATGCCCACGACTGGGGTGCCTGACTGCTGGCCCCTGAGCCTGCTGGGCGGGAAGGGTAGGTGGTGTAATAGCCCAGATTTGGACAGGGAGCCCCATGTCCTGCCTGCAAATCAGGTCTCATGGGGGAGGCAGATAGACGACGCAGACAAGCAGTGCCATCCCAGGCCTGCTGAGCAGCAGCCCTCGCCAGAAACGGAGGCCAGGTGCGCGGCACAGTGATGGCTGTCGGTGGACCAGCCCCGGGTCTGAAACGCCACCTTAACTGTCCGTGCGGAGTGAGCACAGACTCTAGCTGAGCGGTGCCCCAGGCAGGGAAGGAGCCGCAGAGCCACCTCCCACATTGGGTGTCCGGCCCTCTGCTGGTGCCCGACGTACCTATTCTGCCACCTTCCACCTAGACACGGCTGACACGGGTCATGCTCAAGTTACCAGGCCACAGCGCTCTTGAAGAAACGAAGTCGCTGCCACCTGAGAGGAAGCAGAGGCCAGGTGAGGTGGGCCTCCTCTGCCGAGTCCACAGGCAGGAGCCCCGTGTGTGTGCTTGTGACTGGGTCATGCCGTTGACCTAGTACCCAAGTCTGGTTTTAACTACCTGCCTCCCTCCAATTTCAGAGAAGAGCAAACTTGGACAGTCTCTCTCCTTGGTCCCGTCTGTCAGCTCCCTCCAGAGCAGTGTGCACATCTGGTTCGGCAGCTGTCAGTCCCTGAGGGGGAGAAGGGAAGCTCTCTGCTCAGTGCTGCTGGTAGCCAGGCCGAGTGTCCGGCAGCTGCGCCCTCTGCACCTCGCACGAGCGCTATCCCTCGGCACAGGTGTGCACAGCCTCTGTCGGGAAAAACTCATTCGGTTTTGTTTTTCAGACTCTGATTTTGGCATAAAGCATAGGACAGTGAAACACCAAGAATCTTGTAAAGTGGAAGGTGTCTTTGAACTTTATCTGAAGGCAGAACTAAGAATGTGCTTTTCCAACCTACCCATCAGAAGCAAGAATAAAAGATGGGAAAACCACCTTCAAGGATGGAAGAGAGAAACTGGACACCACTACCCCTGGGGCAGACATTCAAACGTGGGTTTGAGCCAGAGGCCATGCCTGGCCCAGCTCCCCTCTTTGGGATGCTCTTGTGCGGGGTGCACTCACCCTCAGACAGGTGCTCACTGCCATCCACGTCACAGCTCCACAGGCCCCACCTTTACCAAACCTGCTCTCCAGGGAGCGGCACCCAGGAGGGCTTAGGTGCAACCTGGGCATCAGAGAGCTCTGAGCCACTGGCCCCTTAGTCCGCTTCCTAGTTGCTGAGGGCAGAGCATCTGTGGTGCGAGCACACCTGTGGTACCTCAGACCCTGCCGACCCGAGAGCCAGGCAGACGGTGGACCTAGCTAGTTTAATGGATTTGTTTGTATTCTATCTATTTATGCGGCAGAATACAAAGTTTCTATAATAAGCCTTAGACAGTGAGCTGCATATGTAAAAAAATGTTAGGCAGCTGAGCCCATGGGGCTCAGTGGTTGAGCACTGACCTATGAGCCAGGAGGCTTGATGCCCCAGTCAGCACATATGCGGGTTGCAGGTTCCATCCCCAGTGTGAGGGGTGCAGAAGGCAGCTGATCAATGACTCTTTTCAATGTTTCTCTCCCCCTCTCTCTGAAATCAATAAAAATATATTTTAAAAACCATAGAAGAACGTTAGGCAAGTAAACACTCAGTGATATTCAATGTGATTCACGTGTCATATATAGGTTGAGACCCTTTTTGTCTGCTCCAAGCTGCTTCCCAGCCTACACCTGAGGCCACTGTTGCAGCTGCTCCCAAACCACTCACCTCCACACACAGCCACCACCATGGCCGCCGCCTGGAGGGCAGTGCACCCCATTGGCCCCAGCTGCTGGCCATTTACTTAATGGAGAGGAAAGGACAGCACCCAGACAGGGCCCTTTAGAAAGTACCAGCCAAGCAGTGTCCAGGGAGAGCTGTTGTCATCCCATCTACAGAGACAGCTTCCTGGCTGCCTCTGAGGGATGCTGGCGTTGGCATGTCTGACCAGCGTGGCGCCACTGCCGGCTCTAGTCCACTCTAGTCCACTCTTTCCTCGTATGGAAGGAGCCTTTCCCGACACCAGGAGGGAGGGAGCTGGTTTCTGAGGAAAGTGAAAAGCCATGTGTCACATTCCAGCCACGGGTCCTAGGATGGATGTGTGGGCGCGTGGGCCCTGGGGTAGGTCAGCACATCCTCCAACTTTCAGGAAACTTGCGAGCCTTGAACACCGACTCACAGGCTGCTCTGGCCGTTGTCATTGGGGAGTAGCAGCTGAAACGGCAAGCTCCATAGTCCAGTTAGGACGGAGGGCAGGGTACAGTGTGACGTGCGAGGGACTTACTCCAAGGCGGGGAAGCCTATACAGTGGACCCCCATTTCCACTGTCAGCTCCAATAGGGGGAAGTTTCGTTCTGAACTGAGGTGTGAAGCTGACCGAAGGAACCTCAACCGTGGAGTGTTAGTAAGTCTGCCACAGGCACCCTCTCTGGCTACTCTCAACCGTCACAGCCAAGAAGTGGCTGCTTCCACCAGGGAGCAGACGCTGCTGCAGAGAGCGCCCCCAGCCCGGCCACGTGGCTCAGAGGCTGAGCGTCGACCTGTGAACCAGGAGACCACAGTTCATTCCGTCAGGGCACATGCCTGGGTTGCGGGCTCGATCCCCAGTGGGGAAAGTGCAGGACGTAGCCGATCCATGATTCTCTCCCATCATTGGTGTTTCTATCTCTCTCCCTCCCCCTTTCTCTCTGAAATCAAAAATATATATATATATTTTTAAATATATTTTATTGATTTTTCACAGAAAGGAAGGGAAAGAGACAGAAAGTCAGAAACATCGATGAGAGAGAAACATCGATCAGCTGCCTCCTGCACATCTCCCACTGGGGATGTGCCCGCAACCCAGGCACATGCCCTTGACTGGAATCGAACCCGGGACCCTCCAGTCCGCAGGCCGACGCTCTATCCACTGAGCCAAACCGGCTTCGGCCAAAAATATTTTTTTAAAAAGAGTCCCTGCCCCGACCGGATTCTGAGCCTCACACCAGAGGACACGTGGACCACGTGTCCTTTTCCCGTAGACGCGGTCTCCTTAGTGCGTCTCCTCTGGGAGTGGTGCCTGGTCCTGCAGGGCTGGGGGGCGGGCGGGGGGTGGGGTGGTCAGTAGGGAAATGGGAACCCTTTTCTGGTCCTAGAGCTGGTGCCACTGGGAGGTCAGTGATGGTCACATTAGCCCCCGCTGGGCTGAAGGGGACACTGCAGGGCCTGGGGCGGAGGGAAGGACGGCTCTTACACACAGGCTTCTCCCTTGGGGCCGAGCCATTAGGAGAGTGGTCCTGGTGAATCAGACGTGGACAGCGAGGCCGAGGCGCCGTCAGGATGTCTGCTGGTTTCCAGACGGAAACCCGTTCTGGGAGCTGGCGGAAGCTGGGAACTGAAGGAGGCACAGTTATCTAGCCCTCAAGGACTAGGGCTCATGTGTCCATTTGTTTATTTCATGTTCTCAGCATTAAAACCCAGCTCCTTACTCCTCAGGGCCAGCCTCGCGGCGGGAGGCCTGTTGCCGCTGTGTTCCGGTCTCGCCCAGCAGGCCGGCCAGGGCTCTGCAGGGGAAGTGCCTCCGGCCTCCACCCCGACAAGCACCCAGGACAATAGCCCTGCGGTGGCACTAGGAGTCCTTGGGCTTCTGCTCCTTCCGGGCCCGGGAGGCCATGAGGCGGAAGAAGAGCGCGGGGGCCAGCGTTCGCAGGTAAATGGCCAAGGAAGGCGCCAGGCTGGCCAGGACCACGTCCTCCTTCTTCTTCGCCACGGCAGCCAGGACGTCTCGGGCCACGTCCGCAGGCACTCGGCCCTGGGCGGTGGTCTCGTCCATAACTAAAGTGGACAAAAGAAACCCGTGAGCTTGAAAGCACAAGTCCCTCCCGGCTGAGCTGTGTGGACCAGACCGTGGTGCGGCCAGCTCCCCAGCTTTCCACCGTGCACCCACCATCCCAGCTCCCCTGCACCCAGGACAGGGGGACCCCTCCGTGGCTCAGGGTGTGAGCCGGGGTCAGAGAC